TTAAACCGCCAGAATTGCTCTGGACAAATGGTGGCGTCTTATCGGGGTTTGACTGGACAGTACATGGTCAGCTTGCAGATGGTAAGCGTCATCAACATTGCTGGCATTTACAGTACCGTACAGCACAGTACTTCCTACGCTCTGAGGACACTCATTCATGCAAGGCTATCCGTGAATGCTGAGCAGTACCACCAGTGGTGCGGGTGTCAGTGGCTGAAAAGCCCTTTCTCTGATTCTGAGGATACATCATCCTTAATGGCGAACAAAACTCGGCGCTTTTCCACTAGTTGACGTGGGAAAAAGTCCGTTGGCAGATCAGTCCGTGGGACACACAGCTGTTTCGGCAAGCAAGCAGGAAGGAAAGAAAGAGAGAAAGGAAGGAAAAAGGAATTTGACAGAAAACCCGGCCTCGGTGTTCTGAGGCTGTCAAGCGTCGGCTGTCACGGGGTACCAGGACCAGAGCCGGACGAAACCAGACGCCACGGCCCAGAGGGACGCCCTGGCCGTCACGCCGAAAATCGATTTTTTCCCCATTCGGAACCCGAGACTCGGCGGTTGCAGTTCGTTCTCCTCTGCCTTGCCTGTCTGAACCCATTCGAAAAAAAAAACCGAGTCGCAAACGTTTCACGGCCAAGGATATGCGACCACAAGAAATCCGAAACCCGAGCAGTTGAGGAAAACACCCAGTTCACAAAATTACTCCAGTCCTTAGCCCCTGGATTTTTGGCGTACCTGCAGTACCAACGCGCGAGCTTGTGAATGAAACGAAAATATCGCCCTTGTTCCATTGCGTGACCAATGGAAAACTGTTTGACCGGCCTTGACGCCATGCAAAGAGCATTTCCAGAGAATAGAAAAGCAATTGGCGCTTGACTCTTCGTATTACGTGAATTCCCATCAATTGCCAAACAAGGTTGAAAAAATCGGACATGCACTGGAATGCAGCCAAAATTGTCTGAAGTTGATGCTTTCTCGCCACACTTGAATGATGTTCCTCAGGGCGAGAAGTGGTTTCAGTCATCATATCAGAAAATCAACAGTTTTAATCCTTGAACGTGTTTACAGAAGAACAGTCAAAAGAGAAAAGAAACATTTATTCGAGTGGCACTCTGGGGACCAAAACAAAAAACAGTTGGTTATACAGTACATAGAATATCACTGTGATGTAGGAGCTACACTAAAACAAAGATTGCATAAGCCGGCCAGAAAAGGACGGGGGTTCATCTGTGAACATTCCATCAGACAAGGTACCTGGCCCATAAACGCATCGAATGTAAAGAAATAATCTGACACAGCAAAAAGTTTCAGTCAGATGCTGTCAAATGCTTTCGCTGTTTTCGTCACGCGCCTTTCAGGGGACAACACCGTCAGATCACGATCCTTGTCAAGTCGACAGCATGAAGATAAGATCAGTGCATCTCAATTGAACAAGAAAATGCGTCGACCGGAAAGACCATTCATCTGCAAAATGGGGTCACAAGTTACGTAACCATGATTGGAAATCATATTTTCCCCCCAGGCTTTTGCACACGGGCGACGGTCATTAATTGCAAGGATGACAGAGTTAATTCATCAGTCTAAATCCGAAGTTCCGCACGGGGGACCTTCACGAGCGTAATATCAATTATTATTTCCCGACCGCAGGGCAAGACAGATTGAAAGGGACTACGATAACATCGAGGAAAGGAACAACCTGTCGAAAGCGCTTGAAATTCGTCGGCAATTCGCCGCGTTTCTCCTCCCGGAATTTCCGTCCGGAAACAATCATGCAAATCCAGCCCTGTTCCCTGGAACAATTTTCCGAGGAGCATCAGCAACCACATCCAATAATGCCCTGTACTTGGAAAAAAAAACACTTTCAATTTTCCTGCCTATTTCGGGAAAATCGGTGCGGTTACCAGGCATCGAAAATGTGCCTGATGATAGTCTAAGCGAAAACGGCAACTTTATTCATCGTGCGGATTCTCTTTTCTTCGAGTAAACTCTACAGCACTGCACGGTACTGTAGTTACAAATGGCGAACCTCTCGCAATTTTACTGCAGTCAGATGAAACGCTGGGATATCATTATTTTTCGATGATGCAGCACTACAGCCACAGGCAATAAGCAGTACCCGAGCATCACGTCGAAAATAAGATTACCTGCTCGGATTGAAATGAAGCGGGGGGGTTGAACGAGATATCTCCCCAGAAACCTTCGATACTCCTCGACTTGGTTAATCAAAAGTGGAAAATGAAAAGCGGCCAACGAGAAAACCATCTCCAGGATGCACATTACAAAAGAAAGAAAAGATCATCGGAGAAATAGATGAAATACTGGACAGTATTTAAAAAATAAAAGGAGCGATGTTCCCTCGGCGGTTAATGTTGATTTTACTGGCCAATGGGCTCACTGGTGAGAGGAGACGAAAAGAGAAGCGGATAAAAGGAGCCCGCGGCATCAACAGGTAGCCTTCACGGTTCATCAATGATGAATACTGGGACCATTTCCCCCACCTCCAGCGGCTTCCAAGGACTCGGGCCAGAGAAAAGCGGCAGTAATTCATCAGACGCCAAAAAAAGGGGGAAGAAGAAGAGAGAGAGAGGATGAAACAAACAAAAAATGGGGGAGGAGCTCCGGATACACAAAAATCCTTCTCCCCCAACTCGCAATGAACTGGACGGCAGCAGAAGCCCTAGAAATATTCTCCCCTATATTCGCTCATGTCTGATGGAGTGGGGAAATTGTGCCACTTTCAAGACATGCAAGTACTGTACTGCAATGCACAGTACCGTATGCGAGTACCACCAGTGGCATGGCGGTTGAAACCTCCTTCAACTGGGCTTCTGCGAGAGATGGCTGTGTGCGACACTTTTTGTTTTGAATTATTGAACCAAATTGAAGAAATACACGGTAAGCGTTTGCCTGTGCACCACCTCCTGGTTGTACTAATGAGAAATTACCTCAAGTCTCAACTGAGATAAAGGCCACATAATTTCCGAATCGTTTCAAAATAGTGTAACATACTACAGTACTGTACAATATTCACTTCTATGCTCGAGGGGCCAGTGTGACTCTCAGTCTCCTGAAGGTCTCGCTTTTTTTTTTCTATCTCTCAAGATATGCTTTTATTCTCTTACAAAAAATTCGTATACGGATTTACACACTCTTCGGAAGCCTCAACAATTGACCAGGACAATTTCAAGTAAGGTACAGTACTGTATATATTTTCGAAGATACCAGATATTTCCTAGATTCAGGTAACTCTTACGTGTACCACCACCTACTGGGTGCATGCCTTCCGGGATTTTGTCAAAGCCTCGCATACGTCACAGGTCCAGTAGTAGGTCAATTTTGGAATCCGGACCAGACCAGGGAAACGAGCTGCAACCTCCTACACCGTCCAGAGACGGGCGAGGATCTCCCATTCCCTTCAGGAATCCATAGGTTCTGAAAACTGCAACATGCCCGTGGCACGGCGGGGGAAAAATGGCGCTTGCTGTGAGACAGGTAGGTACTAAACTTGGCTTTCCCTCGCTCCCCGAATTCCCCTGCCCCCGCGTTCACAAGGTCTGCTACCGTACTAAACAAAACGCAGAACCGATGCTTTCCTTCCCCTGGTCTCTAAAACTGTTGCAGCCAGTCAGGAGCAAATAAGTAGAACAAATGGGTTCAGGAGCACAACACCGGGAGGGAAAAGTGCACGCGGCCGAAAATAAAGCGCCGTTGCTTGCCTGCCAGCGCTTGAGCAAATATGACACAGTCTGGAAGATATTATTCCAGGCCTGTTTGTGTTCTCCAGCAGCGAGGACATGGCGAAAAAAAAAAGACGAAAGAGAAAACAGCAAAAGCAACAAAAAACGGCTGATCGGGGTTGTTATTGGGAACAGCGAACTGTGCTTGTTGAGGACACTTGAGCGTGTCCCAAAACGCCGTGTTTTAAAACAACGTGCGCCGTTCCAGCGCGTGCCGAAAATACTGTAATGGAAGATGCAAGCAGGTCCATATTTGCTTATTCCAGTTTTCAGACAAAGGTGTACTGTATAGTACAATACTCGGCCTATTGGGCTGTTAATCTTGAAATCTTTTTTTTTCCGGAATCAAGGAAGCATCCTCAGAATTAAAATTCCTGTAAATCAGCAGCAGCTTAGGAAAGGATAGAAACACTGAACATTCTCCCCATATTTTTGCCTGCAAATTCTCTGGTGCTAAACTGCGCTTGTGTCGTTATCCACTTTTTTCATTTATGTGGTAACGTAGCTTTTAAAAAACCGGGGATCAAATATTCAAGGGATCAAATACTCGAGCTTTAGGAGAAAAAAAGCCAGCAGAAGAATGGGTCACTGAATATTTTTCGACGAATGATTTTTTGCAGGGCTGCATCATTCGTTGCTTTTCGGAAGAAATAACTCATCTTCGGATCACTCTGAAATTAATCTCGAACGGGAAATCAAGAGTAACTCCTTGGGAAATTCTTGTGGAAGACCCAGAAGAAACAAAAATTAGATCCAGTGGAACAAGGGATCACGTAATAATTTTTGAGGAGTGCTTTCCTTACAGGAGACACTTTCCATGCATGTGTTTCATGAATTATTGTACATTACAGATATGATGGTAATACCTCGCGCGCTAGAAGCAAGAGAAATACTGTTCTCGCGAAATAGTAAAAAAATGCATACAGTAAACTCCATTCCGATTCCATCATTTTTCTCTGAGAGCGTTTGATTTCGGACACGACTCCAAACGCGCAAAAACGGATCAAATTTGCAATCGAAGGACTACAGTGGGGCCCGGAGATGGTGACGTAATGGGTTTTTGTGTCGGAACCTCCGCATGTCGGGCCACGTTTTCACATAGACTTCAATGGGAACATACAGTATTTAACTGGTTCTTCTGTTTTATCTTAAAATAGGAATAAAGCCCCCCAAGAAATTCAATACAGTACAGTAATTTTTGTCTACTTCATGATACAAAAAACTGCTTAGAAGAAGGCCCACACAAAATCAGAATTTTTTTGGCATTTAAAGGAGCTCAATAAGCAAAGAGCAAGAACAAAACTGAAAAAATATACAGTACATGAAATTGGTTTGTTTTCGAGTAAGACTTGGAGTTATTTTAAGATGAAAATTTTTTTTTTTAAATTTCCTAAACATAAATTGCTCAATTTGATCAAGAGACGTCTACATTTCGAAAAACACTTTCTCCCCCAAAAAATTTGTTCGACGTCTCGGCAGATTTTTTTGTTTCTTTCTTCGAGTTAAAAATTGGCTCTCCCTTGGGTGAGTTGAATCGTCCGCATGCCCGGGGTCCCACTGTAAATTGGGACGATAGCAGGCAGGAGCAAGGAGGAAACTCACCAGTTGTGTCGGCGGGCTAGTGTTGGCCGAGGCATTGCCGTTTGTGTTGGAGGAATTTGCGGCGGCGCTGCGAGCAGCAGCTGTCGCGTCTCTATCAGCCCGGCTCATCTTGCTGCGCGGATGCGGCTGGAAATAAAAGAAGCAACAGCGAACATGAAACGCATGCAGCACGAGAGGCAACCGTCGCAACCGTCCAACGGTTCTCGTGTCGCAACCACTCACTCACTCACTCTCACACACACACACACACACACATAATACCCCCCCCCCTCCACCATCCAAACTATACATAGTCAATTGACCACTTAACGTCTCTGCGCAGAGATCTCTGCTCTGAATCAGTTTTCAGATAAGCACGCGTTGATAACAACTCGTCCAGGCGTGACAAGTCTCGCTTTCTACCAATCCGACCCGTTTTAGTCCGATTCATGTCAGTTCCGGCAAGCAAGTCTGCCAACCGTCCGAGCTTATTATTATTATTTTTTTCTTTCACGTGTCAGCCGGAAATGTTCGCCTGTGACGGTCGTGTTGCAACGCGAAAGCAAGTTTTTCTTCACAGAAACTCTCAACAGACGAAGTGAGAGTGAGAGACGGACAAGGTAATTAAACTAGAAACAGACGGTTGGGCAAAGACGCAAGAATTATATTTATTGCCACGCATTATTTTCATGAGAATAGAGAGGGATAGGAAGCGTTCAAGTTTCATTAATGTCGGGGGGAAAAGAAACGGGAACGTGCTAAAGGTACCTCCCGTGAATTTCATCAATGATTGCTCGATGTCATTCATTTTCTTGCTCTTTGGTAGAACCTCAGACTATAACCCACCAAACCTATTTCCTGAAAAACTGGACACTGGCACCCCATAAGATATAAGCAAGTTGACAGTATCAGAGATTATCCTTCGATATGGGACAACTTCGCTTCCACGAATCGCCCTGCTGTCTGTCTAAAACTTTACTTTCAGTTTCTAGAGGCTCGGTATGACGTAGTTCAACAAAACGTTGTGTGATTTTTGAGAAATTTCTAAAAAAAAAAGAAGACCGGAGGCACAGGTGCCCATAAAGAGTAAAAGAAAGCTCAATTTCCTTCACTTTATCCATCTTCTGGAAAGTGATGTGAAGAATTATAGGGCTTCGATTAATTGCAAGTCAAGGTCTTGCTTTCCAGACGCTCGCTATTTCGCCGCAGCAAAAGTGGGAAGAAGGGATTGCGAGACCTCACTCACATTAGGTGCATAATTTTACGAGTAACCGGACAGATGGCCCAGGGTATCCAAACCTACGCGAGAATGTCCCGCCTAACGGTATGACATAACAGAAGAGGAGGAAGGATTGACTGGAACCGCCATGGGGAGATAAAGAGAGAGTCGGAGGCGGCGGTGGCCCAGAAAAGAAAAAAGGGACCGAGTCTGGCCTTGTCCCTCAAACGAGGGCGCCAGCCTTGCTCGTGCGCAGACACGTCGGGCGGAGAGCGTGAGAAAGCGAAGGAAAGTGAGATCCGATTCCGGCTACACGTCGGGTCAACCTGCCTCTCTGAGGTAGTAACCCCGAAAAAACGAAAACCCGGGGGAACCCGGGATCATCATCATCAGCTGCAATGCGGGCCAGCAGGGGTTTCTCCCCCGTCGTCGGTGCCGGGGGACGAGACACAGCTGATCGGCCCACGTGCCTGCCTGGCCCAGGTAATTCTTTAAAGCCGGGGACAGGGCCCTGATATCAATTGAAAAGCCTCCCCACACGCGCGCCAAGAAGCTGGGGGAGGAATCACACCCTCCACGGGCTTCCCTAACGCCCCGCTGGGCAAACCAGGGCACCGGGACACCCTTCACGCCAGGGGGGGTTATGAACCCACTCTAACGGTCACCCCTCTCACCACCACCGTCTCTTGTGGCTTCTTGGCAGTGAAAATCTAACCTAACCAAACCCTACCTCCTTGCTCGCTTCTTTCCCTCACTCGTCCCAGCGTGTCTCAAAAAGTCGCGTTCGGAAACAATTTATTCTTTCTGATGGTACAATAATGTACACGAGAACTCGTCGTGTTCCCAAAGCGGCATGAAAAAAAAAACCATCCCCAATGTCCACATCGATGAACTGCGTTACAACGTGAGCCAATTCCGTCAACGGGTTTATTTGGGCACGCGTCGTTTTTTGAGACATGCTCCGTCTTCAAGTCGCTCACGATCGCATTTGCACGCGACAGGAAAACGAAAAGAGGAACTCACTTCCTCGCACGAAGCTAACCCACAACTCTGGCGGGATTGAGAAACTGGGAAATATTCTACACGAATAATATTCCTCGAATGAATTTCCGAAATCGCCGACGCTGAAACATGCACTCACAACCCGTCTCGCATTCATGACGCATCACGGCTTTTGCGTACAATTCGATAGCCTTTCCCTACGACTTCACGAAAAAAATTTCCGCCACGTGATTCCACGGTTACAAAAAAAAAAAAAAAACGCAGCCGGGATTTCATCCGTTGCTCCAGATTCGCCAACTGCGCGGGAAACCGACGAAGTGAGACAAGGTCGCTTGAAAACGCTGTCAAACGTGAGAAGCAACCAACTTCAGCGACCAAAAAAAAAAAAAAACAGCTGCGTCATTAGAGACTCGACACGCCCTTGAAGAAGACAATAAGAAAGGTCCTGATCTTAGAGATACACAACTACCCCCGCTGCTGCGCCTGTCTATCACTGCATACTTGGTGGAGCGCTCAAAAAAACCCCTCATGACGGTGGCCCTGTCCACAGGGCCACCCTCCTCAACACAAAAGAAAACTTTGCTGCTTCGGTACGCGATCTATGATCTATCATCTATACCAAACGAAAAACCACGTTGGAATACGAGGTCGGGACCGGTCGCAATTTTCCGCCTGCTTGAACGTGAAGACAGCATCCGTGCGAACAAAGTACAGGACAGTATTCTGGTTTATTTTTAATTAACGTACACCGCAGTTTTCAAAACGAAAAACCGACAAGAATTCCTCGTGAACCGATACAAATTTAGGAAATTTTTGGAAAAAATAGTGCGCTTCACACGCAAGTTCCAACAGCGCTAAAGATAAGAATCAAATTTCAGCTTACAGTCCCGCACAGTACAGTGCATAAATTGAAAAAAATAAAACAAAAATTCCGCACAGAGCAAAAATTGATGACTACTGTGTAACCGTATCTCATCGAATTCCTAGGAATCAACCTCCGACTTTCTAGTGCACAGTGCATTGAAGAAAAAGAAAAAAGTGCTGGACATTTCTCATCAGAAGGGCTGGAACAAAAATTTCCAGGTTAAATCGCAAACCACAAAAAACACAACAAAGGCTGAACCGGATGCATGAAACCCAATGGCCAGACCGGAAGCGGCCCCCAGAAGCTCGCTGGGAAAACTGAATCGCCACCTCGTTTCCCGGCATTTTCTTTCTTTGTTTCTTCTTTTTTTTTCAGGAGCGGAAACGCGTTGTCTCCGTCGGAGGTGCTCGACGGAAACCTGACCCGCGGATGCGCGCGACTGTCACGGCCAAAGGGACATTTTTCCCTCCCAATTACCGGCGCCAGGAATACTGTACCCTGTCGACTCGGATTTCGGGACTCGTCCTCGGCCGGAAAACATCTTCCTCGACAAGAAACCTGGCCCAATCCCGTCCCAGAAACCAGACGAATAACCCAGTCCCCCGTCCCCGAAGATGCTGCTGCTGCACTAGCTACAACAGCTTGGTCTTGTAAATTCCACAATAATCGTCACTTGTCACATTTTACTAAAATAAAAAACAACTTCGAAGACAGTTCTGTATGCTGGGGAATTGCCAAGTGGATTAACTCCTCCGCGTAAAAAAAAAAGGATGAAGCGCACAAACAAGGAGACGTGGCTTTACAGACCACGGTATATTACTGTAAAGTACAGTACCCGAAAATTTAGTAAGGTACAACAGTGGAAACTCATCACAAGAATTACGTTACCATGCGGCTGATGACATCAATCAATCCAGATACGTATGCACAAATAAAATGATGCTGTGGTTTTAGAAAAAAAGTTCGAGTAATAGTCCATCTCGAAAGTAATTTGAACAAAACGAAAACACTGCTGAGTCCGCCACGTTTGGGGCATCGAAATCGCCGAAAAATCTGGGTTTAAATCCCGAACGTCTCGGGGAAACCGAACCAAGGAAAGGGAAGGGTAGGACAGGAACAAAGAGCCCCGGATTCTCTCAGGTACAGGTATGAAATGAAGGGAGGGGAAAAAACAAAAACGCAAGCCACGTTTTCCTCGCTCTCTGGTGCGACTTACAATTCGCAATTCCAAGACGCCGAGAAAAATATCGCCTTTACAACAATCCCAGGGGCCCAAGGAGATCTGCAAACACAGGATTCGATACGAGCCCTCTCGCATCCCTTATCGCGATTTGAGCTCCCCGAAAACTCGCGTTTACATCAGAGGAGATATGCCTCGAGGCATTCAGAAAACCGACGTCCATGGTTCGGAACAACGATGCAACGCCATTAGGAAAAATACCTCAGCATTCAAGAGCAAACATTGGAAAAGGCTCTCATCACCACCCATGAAAAAGAGGTCCTGTACTCGGAATTGGGAAAAATGAATCGGGTCAAACTACTGCCTGCTTCCGTCTCAAAATCAACTTCCGACTATGACAGTGAGAATACGTACTGCATCTCGGAAACACGAACGCATTATCTGTACAGAAACTTTCGGAATCGTTCTCTTTATTCGAATGTTAGAAGGAAAATGCAAAGATGAAATCAGACATGCAAATTTAATAATCTCACAACGAAAATGAAAAGCGCAAGGAAGTCCTAAATGGCACCCAATCGACGCCGAAAAATGTATGCCAAGCACATGCATTCTTCAAGTGATTTAATATTCTAAACGCTTGACACGGTTTTGAAATGTTGTTCTTGAAGGTGCTTTCAGAGGCAGGTGTGTCAAAACCAAAGCACACAGCTTCGCATTTTTTAATTGTTAAAGATACAAAGTGGAATTTTTGGGATTATTAATTTTCTATATAGACGCGCACAGGGCATGAGAGGAAAATCTGGAATCCATGTCTTCGTCAAAGCATCGATTTTCTGATATTTTATTCGATAATCGTGCAAGGTTTTTGAAAGGGAACCGAACAAACTCTCTTCAGGTCGGGATAGCTGTCGTTAGAATTCATTTTCAAATGTTATGGATTTCAATGTGTTTCCCCTCGTAGATCGATGTAGTTTTTAATTCGTTAAACATCACCCAGTCATTCAATTTCGACTTGTTCAATCTTCAACTAGGACTGCATTCGATGATTGATTTCTCCTGTCTGCACTGATTCCCTTTGAGCATAGCTATTCCAGGAAGAAAAAAGTACTGCAGTGCAGTTTAAAAAAGGGGGCATCACCAGATTTGGAGAGAAAAAGATACAGTTCGGGAATACAGCATGCTTTCATAGAAAATGCATTTTACTTCGCTTCAAAACATAATAAAAAATCAGCAATAGCTTGAAACCTAAATAAAGCGCAGATCTTGAAACTTTAAGAAATGGTTGGCTTTAGGAGGCAAAATTCACGTCTGCAGACGAATGCCTCGAATACAGGCCGCACCGGCACCTTTCTGTTTTGATATTTTTTGCTGCTGTTGTTTGAAAAAAAAAAAACAGTACTCGCGGACTATAATCGAGGAAATGAGGGTTTGACCGACCGGATGGACGGCTATCGGAATTGACTTCGATCTCGAGGGGAAAATTCCTACGCTCAAGACACACACTCAAGCCAGGATCTTTCGAGGAGAAGTACAATTTTCATTCCGGCCAGACGAAGTAAAAATTAATCGCTCGGCACAAAAGATTGCACGGGACGGGACGGCAATAAAAAGGTCCCCCATAGATCCACCTGGTGGCGGAGTCCGCGGGGAAAAAGCTCAAGGTGAAACGATGCTCGTGAACTAGTACCGGGGTCGAGTACTTCCCGACTCGGAAAAAGACGAAGGAGGGGGGGGGGGGGGGGGGGACAAAAA